GGGAAAAACAGGGATTTCTATGAAAATAAGCGATATTTAAGGGGAAAAACAGGGATTTCTGTGAAAATAAGCGATATTTAAGGGTTAAAAACAGGGATTTCTATGAAAATAAGCGATATTTTAGGGGAAAAACAGGGATTTCTATGAAAATAAGTGATATTTTAGGAGATAATCTGGGATTTCTATTAAAATATGCAATATTTTAGGGGAAAAACAGGGATTTCTAGTGAAAATAAGCGATATTTTAGGGGAAAAACAGGGATTTCTATGAAAATAAGCGATATTAGGGGAAAAACAGGGATTTCTAGGAAAATAAGCGATATTTTAGGGGAAAAACAGGGATTTCTGTGAAAATAAGCGATATTTTTTGGGGAAAAACAGGGATTTCTATGAAAATAAGCGATATTTAAGGGGAAAAACAGGGATTTCTATGAAAATAAGCGATATTTAAGGGGAAAAACAGGGATTTCTATGAAAATAAGCGATATTTAAGGGGAAAAACAGGGATTTCTGTGAAAATAAGCGATATTTTAGGGGAAAAATAGGGATTTCTATGAAAATAAGCGATATTTAAGGGGAAAAACAGGGATTTCTATGAAAATAAGCGATATTTAAGGGTTAAAAACAGGGATTTCTATGAAAATAAGAGATATTTAAGGGGAAAAACAGGGATTTCTGTGAAAATAAGCGATATTTAAAGAAAAAAACAGGGATTTCTGTGAAAATAAGCGATATTTTAGGGGAAAAACAGGGATTTCTGTGAAAATAAGCGATATTTTAGGGGAAAAACAGGGATTTCTATGAAAATAAGCGATATTAAAGGGAAAAACAGGGATTTCTGTGAAAATAAGCGATATTTAAGGGTTAAAAACAGGGATTTCTATGAAAATAAGCAGATATTTAAGGGGAAAAACAGGGATTTCTGTGAAAATAAGCGATATTTAAAGAAAAAAACAGGGATTTCTGTGAAAATAAGCGATATTTTAGGGGAAAAACAGGGATTTCTGTGAAAATAAGCGATATTTAAGGGGAAAAACGTGGATTTCTATGAAAATAAGCGATATTTAAAGAAAAAAACAGGGATTTCTGTGAAAATAAGCGATATTTTAGGGGAAAAACAGGGATTTCTGTGAAAATAAGCGATATTTTGGGGGAAAAACAGGGATTTCTCTGAAAATAAGCGATATTTTAGGGGAAAAACAGGGATTTCTATGAAAATAAGCGACATTTTAGGGTAAAAACAGGGATTTCTGTGAAAATAATCGATATTTTAGGGGAAAAACAGGGATTTCTGTGAAAATAAGCGATATTTTATGGGTTAAAAACTGGGATTTCTATGAAAATAAGCGATATTTTAGGGGAAAAACAGGGATTTCTATGAAAATAAGCGATATTTAAGAAGAAAAACAGGGATTTCTATGAAAATAAGCAATATTTTAGGGGAAAAACAGGGATTTCTATGAAAATAAGCGATATTTAAGGGTTAAAAACAGGGATTTCTATGAAAATAAGCGATATTTAAAGAAAAAAACAGGGATTTCTATGAAAATAAGCGATATTTTAGGGGAAAAACAGGGATTTCTATGAAAATAAGCGATATTTAAGGGGAAAACAGGGATTTCTGTGAAAATAAGCGATATTTTAGGTTAAAAACAGGGATTTCTATGAAAATAAGCGATATTTTAGGGGAAAAACAGGGATTTCTATGAAAATAAGCGATATTTAAGGTTTAATAACAGGGATTTCTGTGAAAATAAGCGATATTTTTTGGGAAAAACAGGGATTTCTGTGAAAATAAGCGATATTTTAGGGGAAAAACAGGGATTTCTGTGAAAATAAGCGATATTTAAGGGGAAAAACAGGGATTTCTGTTTTAAATATCGCTTATTTTCATAGAATAAATGAAAATAAGCGATATTTAAGGGGAAAACAGGGATTTCTGTGAAAATAAGCGATATTTTAGGGGAAAAACAGGGATTTCTATGAAAATAAGCGATATTTTAGGGGAAAAACTGGGATTTCTATGAAAATAAGCGATATTTAAGGTTTAATAACAGGGATTTCTAGGAAAATAAGCGATATTTAAGGGGAAAAACAGGGATTTCTGTGAAAATAAGCGATATTTAGGGGAAAAACAGGGATTTCTGTGAAAATAAGCGATATTTAAGGGGAAAAACAGGGATTTCTATGAAAATAAGCGATATTTTAAGGGGAAAAACAGGGATTTCTATGAAAATAAGCGATATTTTAGGGGAAAAACAGGGATTTCTATGAAAATAAGCGATATTTTAGGGGAAAAACAGGGATTTCTATGAAAATAAGCGATATTTAAGGGGAAAAACAGGGATTTCTATGAAAATAAGCGATATTTAAGGGGAAAAACAGGGATTTCTGTGAAAATAAGCGATATTTAAAGGGAAAAACAGGGATTTCTAGTAAAATAAGCGATATTTTAGGGGAAAAACAGGGATTTCTATGAAAATAAGCGATATTTTAGGGGAAAAACAGGGATTTCTGTGAAAATAAGCGATATTTTTTGGGAAAAACAGGGATTTCTATGAAAATAAGCGATATTTAAGGTTTAAAAACAGGGATTTCTGTGAAAATAAGCGATATTTTAGGGGAAAAAACAGGGATTTCTATGAAAATAAGCGATATTTAAAGGGGAAAAACAGGGATTTCTATGAAAATAAGCGATATTTTAGGGGAAAAACAGGGATTTCTGTGAAAATAAGCGATATTTTAGGGGAAAAACAGGGATTTCTGTGAAAATAAGCGATATTTAAGGGGAAAAACAGGGATTTCTGTGAAAATAAGCGATATTTAAGGGAAAAACAGGGATTTCTATGAAAATAAGCGATATTTTAGGGGAAACAGGGATTTCTATGAAAATAAGCGATATTTTAGGGGAAAAACAGGGATTTCTGTGAAAATAAGCGATATTTAAGGGGAAAAACAGGGATTTCTATGAAAATAAGCGATATTTTAGGGTAAAACAGGGATTTCTATGAAAATAAGCGATATTTAAGGGGAAAAACAGGGATTTCTATGAAAATAAGCGATATTTAAGGGGAAAAACAGGGATTTCTGTGAAAATAAGCGATATTTTAGGGGAAAAACAGGGATTTCTATGAAAATAAGCGATATTTAAGGGGAAAAACAGGGATTTCTATGAAAATAAGCGATATTTAAGGGGAAAAACAGGGATTTCTAGGAAAATAAGCGATATTTTAGGGGAAAAACAGGGATTTCTATGAAAATAAGCGATATTTTAGGGGAAAAACAGGGATTTCTGTGAAAATAAGCGATATTTTAGGGGAAAAACAGGGATTTCTATGAAAATAAGCGATATTTAAGGGGAAAAACAGGGATTTCTGTGAAAATAAGCGATATTTTAGGGGAAAAACAGGGATTTCTATGAAAATAAGCGATATTTATGGTTAAAAACAGGGATTTCTATGAAAATAAGCGATATTTTAGGGGAAAAACAGGGATTTCTATGAAAATAAGCGATATTTAAGGGAAAAACAGGGATTTCTATGAAAATAAGCGATATTTAAGGGGAAAAACAGGGATTTCTAGGAAAATAAGCGATATTTAAGGGGAAAAACAGGGATTTCTATGAAAATAAGCGATATTTTAGGGGAAAAACAGGGATTTCTATGAAAATAAGCGATATTTAAGGGGAAAAACAGGGATTTCTGTGAAAATAAGCGATATTTAAGGGGAAAAACAGGGATTTCTATGAAAATAAGCGATATTTAAGGGGAAAAACAGGGATTTCTAGGAAAATAAGCGATATTTTAGGGGAAAAACAGGGATTTCTATGAAAATAAGCGATATTTAAGGGGAAAAACAGGGATTTCTGTGAAAATAAGCGATATTTTTTGGGAAAAACAGGGATTTCTATGAAAATAAGCGATATTTTAGGGGAAAAACAGGGATTTCTATGAAAATAAGCGATATTGAAGGGGAAAAACAGGGATTTCTGTGAAAATAAGCGATATTTTAGGGGAAAAATAGGGATTTCTATGAAAATAAGCGATATTTATGGTTTAAAAACAGGGATTTCTATGAAAATAAGCGATATTTTAAGGGGAAAAACAGGGATTTCTATGAAAATAAGCGATATTTAAGGGTTAAAAACAGGGATTTCTATGAAAATAAGCGATATTTAAGGGAAAAACAGGGATTTCTATGAAAATAAGCGATATTTAAGGTTTAAAAACAGGGATTTCTATGAAAATAAGCGATATTTTAGGGGAAAAACAGGGATTTCTGTGAAAATAAGCGATATTTTAGGGGAAAAACAGGGATTTCTATGAAAATAAGCGATATTTTAGGGGAAAAACAGGGATTTCTGTGAAAATAAGCGATATTTTAGGGGAAAAACAGGGATTTCTGTGAAAATAAGCGATATTTTAGGGGAAAAACAGGGATTTCTGTGAAAATAAGCGATATTTAAGGTTTAAAAACAGGGATTTCTATGAAAATAAGCGATATTTTAGGGGAAAAACAGGGATTTCTATGAAAATAAGCAATATTTAAGGGGAAAAACAGGGATTTCTGTGAAAATAAGCGATATTTCAGGTCAAAAACAAGGGATTTCTATGAAAATAAGCGATATTTAAAGTGGAAAAACAGGGATTTCTATGAAAATAAGCAATATTTTAGGGGAAAAACAGGGATTTCTATGAAAATAAGCGATATTTAAGGTTAAAAACAGGGATTTCTAGGAAAATAAGCGATATTTAGGGGAAAAACAGGGATTTCTATGAAAATAAGCGATAGTTAAGGGGAAAAAACAGGGATTTCTATGAAAATAAGCGATATTTAAGTGTTAAAAACAGGGATTTCTATGAAAATAAGCGATATTTAGGGAAAAACAGGGATTTCTATGAAAATAAGCGATATTTAAGGGGAAAAACAGGGATTTCTATGAAAATAAGCGATATTTAGGGGAAAAACAGGGATTTCTATGAAAATAAGCGATATTTAAGGGGAAAAACAGGGATTTCTGTGAAAATAAGCGATATTTTAGGGGAAAAACAGGGATTTCTATGAAAATAAGCGATATTTAAAGGGAAAAACAGGGATTTCTATGAAAATAAGCGATATTTAAGGTTAAAAACAGGGATTTCTAGGAAAATAAGTGACATTTTAGGGTTAAAAACAGGGATTTCTATGAAAATAAGCGATATTTAAGGGGAAAAACAGGGATTTCTATGAAAATAAGCGATATTTAAGGGGAAATAACAGGGATTTCTATGAAAATAAGCGATATTTCAGGTTAAAAACAGGGATTTCTATGAAAATAAGCGATATTTAAGGGTTAAAAACAGGGATTTCTATGAAAATAAGCGATATTTAAAGTAGAAAAACAGGGATTTCTATGAAAATAAGCGATATTTTAGGGGAAAAACAGGGATTTCTATGAAAATAAGCGATATTTAAGGGTTGAAAACAGGGATTTCTATGAAAATAAGCGATATTTTAAGGGGAAAAACAGGGATTTCTGTGAAAATAAGCGATATTTTAGGGGAAAAACAGGGATTTCTGTGAAAATAAGCGATATTTTAGGGGAAAAACAGGGATTTCTATGAAAATAAGCGATATTTTAGGGGAAAAACAGGGATTTCTATGAAAATAAGCGATATTTAAGGGGAAAAACAGGGATTTCTATGAAAATAAGCGATATTTTAAGGGGAAAAACAGGGATTTCTGTGAAAATAAGCGATATTTTAAGGGGAAAAACAGGGATTTCTATGAAAATAAGCGATATTTAAGGGGAAAAACAGGGATTTCTGTGAAAATAAGCGATATTTTAGGGGAAAAACAGGGATTTCTATGAAAATAAGCGATATTTAAGGGGAAAAACAGGGATTTCTATGAAAATAAGCGATATTTTAGGGGAAAAACAGGGATTTCTATGAAAATAAGCGATATTTAAGGGAAAAACAGGGATTTCTATGAAAATAAGCGATATTTTAGGGGAAAAACAGGGATTTCTGTGAAAATAAGCGATATTTTAGGGGAAAAACAGGGATTTCTATGAAAATAAGCGATATTTAAGGGGAAAAACAGGGATTTCTATGAAAATAAGCAATATTTTAGGGGAAAAACAGGGATTTCTATGAAAATAAGCGATATTTTAGGGGAAAAACAGGGATTTCTGTGAAAATAAGCGATATTTTAGGGGAAAAACAGGGATTTCTATGAAAATAAGCGATATTTAAGGGGAAAAACAGGGATTTCTATGAAAATAAGCGATATTTTAGGGGAAAAACAGGGATTTCTATGAAAATAAGCGATATTTTAGGGGAAAAACAGGGATTTCTGTGAAAATAAGCGATATTTTAGGGGAAAAACAGGGATTTCTATGAAAATAAGCGATATTTAAGGGTTAAAAACAGGGATTTCTATGAAAATAAGCGATATTTAAGGGGAAAAACAGGGATTTCTATGAAAATAAGCGATATTTAAGGGGAAAAACAGGGATTTCTGTGAAAATAAGCGATATTTTAGGGGAAAAACAGGGATTTCTGTGAAAATAAGCGATATTTAAGGGGAAAAACAGGGATTTCTATGAAAATAAGCGATATTTAAGGGGAAAAACAGGGATTTCTATGAAAATAAGCGATATTTAAGGGGAAAAACAGGGATTTCTGTGAAAATAAGCGATATTTTAGGGGAAAAACAGGGATTTCTATGAAAATAAGCGATATTTAGGGGAAAAACAGGGATTTCTGTGAAAATAAGCGATATTTTAGGGGAAAAACAGGGATTTCTATGAAAATAAGCGATATTTAAGGGGAAAAACAGGGATTTCTATGAAAATAAGCGATATTTTAGGGGAAAAACAGGGATTTCTGTGAAAATAAGCGATATTTAGGGGAAAAACAGGGATTTCTATGAAAATAAGCGATATTTAAGGGGAAAAACAGGGATTTCTATGAAAATAAGCGATATTTAAGGGGAAAAACAGGGATTTCTGTGAAAATAAGCGATATTTAAGGGTTAAAAACAGGGATTTCTATGAAAATAAGCGATATTTAAGGGAAAAACAGGGATTTCTATGAAAATAAGCGATATTTAAGGGGAAAAACAGGGATTTCTATGAAAATAAGCGATATTTTAGGGGAAAAACAGGGATTTCTGTGAAAATAAGCGATATTTTAGGGGAAAAACAGGGATTTCTATGAAAATAAGCGATATTTTAGGGGAAAAACAGGGATTTCTATGAAAATAAGCGATATTTTAGGGGAAAAACAGGGATTTCTATGAAAATAAGCGATATTTAAGGGTTAAAAACAGGGATTTCTATGAAAATAAGCGATATTTTAGGGGAAAAACAGGGATTTCTATGAAAATAAGCAATATTTAGGGGAAAAACAGGGATTTCTGTGAAAATAAGCGATATTTCAGGTCAAAAACAAGGGATTTCTATGAAAATAAGAGATATTTAAAGTGGAAAAACAGGGATTTCTATGAAAATAAGCAATATTTTAGGGGAAAAACAGGGATTTCTATGAAAATAAGCGATATTTAAGGGGAAAAACAGGGATTTCTGTGAAAATAAGCGATATTTTAGGGGAAAAACAGGGATTTCTGTGAAAATAAGCGATATTTAAGGGGAAAAACAGGGATTTCTATGAAAATAAGCGATATTTAAGGGTTAAAAACAGGGATTTCTATGAAAATAAGCGATATTTAAGGGGAAAAACAGGGATTTCTATGAAAATAAGCGATATTTAAGGGGAAAAACAGGGATTTCTGTGAAAATAAGCGATATTTTAGGGGAAAAACAGGGATTTCTGTGAAAATAAGCGATATTTAAGGGGAAAAACAGGGATTTCTATGAAAATAAGCGATATTTAAGGAAAAACAGGGATTTCTATGAAAATAAGCGATATTTTAGGGAAAAACAGGGATTTCTATGAAAATAAGCGATATTTAAGGGGAAAAACAGGGATTTCTATGAAAATAAGCGATATTTAAGGGGAAAAACAGGGATTTCTATGAAAATAAGCGATATTTCAGGTTAAAAACAGGGATTTCTATGAAAATAAGCGATATTTAAGGGGAAAAACAGGGATTTCTATGAAAATAAGCGATATTTAAGTAGAAAAACAGGGATTTCTATGAAAATAAGCGATATTTTAGGGGAAAAACAGGGATTTCTATGAAAATAAGCGATATTTAAGGGGAAAAACAGGGATTTCTGTGAAAATAAGCGATATTTAAGGGGAAAAACAGGGATTTCTGTGAAAATAAGCAATATTTTAGGGGAAAAACAGGGATTTCTATGAAAATAAGCGATATTTAAGGGGAAAAACAGGGATTTCTATGAAAATAAGCGATATTTAAGGGGAAAAACAGGGATTTCTATGAAAATAAGCGATATTTTAGGGGAAAAACAGGGATTTCTATGAAAATAAGCGATATTTTAGGGGAAAAACAGGGATTTCTGTGAAAATAAGCGATATTTTAGGGGAAAAACAGGGATTTCTATGAAAATAAGCGATATTTAAGGGGAAAAACAGGGATTTCTGTGAAAATAAGCGATATTTAGGGGAAAAACAGGGATTTCTATGAAAATAAGCGATATTTATGGTTTAAAAACAGGGATTTCTATGAAAATAAGCGATATTTTAGGGGAAAAACAGGGATTTCTATGAAAATAAGCGATATTTAAGGGTTAAAAACAGGGATTTCTATGAAAATAAGCGATATTTAAGGGGAAAAACAGGGATTTCTATGAAAATAAGCGATATTTTAGGGGAAAAACAGGGATTTCTATGAAAATAAGCGATATTTAAGGGGAAAAACAGGGATTTCTATGAAAATAAGCGATATTTAGGGGAAAAACAGGGATTTCTGTGAAAATAAGCGATATTTTAGGGGAAAAACAGGGATTTCTGTGAAAATAAGCGATATTTTAGGGGAAAAACAGGGATTTCTATGAAAATAAGCGATATTTAAGGGGAAAAACAGGGATTTCTATGAAAATAAGCGATATTTTAGGGGAAAAACAGGGATTTCTATGAAAATAAGCGATATTTAAGGGGAAAAACAGGGATTTCTATGAAAATAAGCGATATTTTAGGGGAAAAACAGGGATTTCTATGAAAATAAGCGATATTTAAGGGGAAAAACAGGGATTTCTATGAAAATAAGCGATATTTAAGGGGAAAAACAGGGATTTCTGTGAAAATAAGCGATATTTAAGGGGAAAAACAGGGATTTCTGTGAAAATAAGCGATATTTTAGGGGAAAAACAGGGATTTCTATGAAAATAAGCGATATTTAAGGGGAAAAACAGGGATTTCTGTGAAAATAAGCGATATTTAAGGGGAAAAACAGGGATTTCTATGAAAATAAGCGATATTTAAGGGGAAAAACAGGGATTTCTATGAAAATAAGCGATATTTTAGGGGAAAAACAGGGATTTCTATGAAAATAAGCGATATTTAAGGGGAAAAACAGGGATTTCTGTGAAAATAAGCGATATTTTAGGGGAAAAACAGGGATTTCTATGAAAATAAGCGATATTTAAGGGGAAAAACAGGGATTTCTATGAAAATAAGCGATATTTAAGGGGAAAAACAGGGATTTCTGTGAAAATAAGCGATATTTAGGGGAAAAATAGGGATTTCTATGAAAATAAGCGATATTTAAGGGGAAAAACAGGGATTTCTATGAAAATAAGCGATATTTAAGGTTAAAAACAGGGATTTCTGTGAAAATAAGCGATATTTAAGGGTTAAAAACAGGGATTTCTATGAAAATAAGCGATATTTAAGGGAAAAACAGGGATTTCTGTGAAAATAAGCGATATTTTAGGGGAAAAACAGGGATTTCTATGAAAATAAGCGATATTTTAGGGGAAAAACAGGGATTTCTGTGAAAATAAGCGATATTTTAGGGGAAAAACAGGGATTTCTGTGAAAATAAGCGATATTTAAGGTTTAAAAACAGGGATTTCTGTGAAAATAAGCGATATTTTAGGGGAAAAACAGGGATTTCTGTGAAAATAAGCAATATTTAAGGGGAAAAACAGGGATTTCTGTGAAAATAAGCGATATTTCAGGTTAAAAACAATGATTTCTATGAAAATAAGCGATATTTAAAGTGGAAAAACAGGGATTTCTATGAAAATAAGCAATATTTTAGGGGAAAAACAGGGATTTCTATGAAAATAAGCGATATTTAAGGGGAAAAACAGGGATTTCTGTGAAAATAAGCGATATTTTAAGGGGAAAAACAGGGATTTCTATGAAAATAAGCGA